GAATGTGTGCAGGCATGGGGACAAGCAGCCTGGGGTTATAAAAGCTACGGTCAATGAATGCCAAGCCTGAATGACGGGTACACAGGGCTCACTAGTCTGATCCCTTCTACACCTACACATACGTGAACTTCTGCATCTAGGCCACTAGGTCGTGCTCACTCACTATACTCGCCGTGGCAATACAGCAAGGAAACTCCACCCAATCCGTGCACCAGCCAGGAGTGCTCTGATCCAGCTCCTCTTCACCACCCAAGGTCTACTTGGAGTTCTCACCCCTCCACCTCCACCACAGTTTCCTACTTTCCCCTTAAAAAACTTAAACCATTAACCAACTATTGATATTATAAATAATATCATATCTTAAATTATATTTTAAATGTGAAACAAGAAGGCAAACATATGATTTAGCTCCAAGGAGATAGGAACCAAATCTACCTTGTTCACCACTGTATTCCTAGGACCTAGCACAATACCTGTATATACTAACACTCGAAAAGTAAGTGCAGAATGAATAAATCAATCTACTAAAGCCTCTACAATTGGCTAAGACTACAGACATGCCAACTTTTCCCTAGCAGAGTAACGTCGTCCATTTGTATAGACAAAAATGTGACTCGGTCACCTATAGACACTAAGTACCTGTGTTCAGATACACAGCAACGTGTCTGGCAAAAGTCTGAAGTGGAAGGTGAAGCAGGAAGAGATTTTGTAAGTTTAGATGTGCAAACTGGAGACCCATTAGACACACTGTGAGGCTTCTTCTGCCGAGGCCTTGAGTGCACTATAAGATTGTCCCGATCAGAACCTGTTCAAACAAAAAAAGAAGTGAGGTATTAAATATAGTGAAGGTAATCAGGTAATTAACTAGGATGATTCATTTGCAGTTCTGAGTGAGGTATGACCTAGAACAAATTAATGATGTATCACTAATCTTGTGATCTTTGTCATATATTCTGCAAACATCAGAAAAATTTAGTGTTAAAAGTAGTATTTCTAGATTGTGAATTCTCAACATTACAGATTCAAAATAAGTTACTTTTTGTATGCAAAGTCCTCCTGTCATCCCCCTTTTCTCTCTCTCTCTTTTTTTTTTTTTTGCCATAAGGCACACGTGCTCGCTGGAAAGGGGGGGCGGTAAGTGAGACATCATCCCCCTAGTCGGATCCATTCTTCTCTCAGGATTTTGGGCATGCACACGCGCGCGCACATACACACAGCCACATCCAGCATGTTTTTCAAGCCACCAAGTCTGGGACTTGAGCCAGAGTTGGCCATGTGGGAGTCCAGTGCTTTAACCACCATGCCATCTGCTGTCCCCTTGACATCCCCATTTTGACTGAAAAAAAATAAAATGTGACAGCTGACTTTCAGTTCCAATTAGAGTTTGTTTTGGCAATCTCCATAGTCTTATATTAGTAATTTATGATATTTTATTTATACGTAAGTTCAAATTAAAGCTTAATTAAGTACTCACTTTCTGAAAAGGCACCAAAAAGTTTCACATTTTCTGAGTTCTGGTGGTCAAAGGTAGTCATATTTAAAAACTGTTGCTTTAACCAACTGGCTCTTTCTTCTTCAAATGCCTTTCTCTATCATACAAAGCAACCAAAGAAATAATGGTCAGTATTGCAACATCCACACAGCCACCCTCTCACGGGATTTCCCTAGCTGTTTGTTCTCTGGTCGTCATATTTCTTATATCAAATGAATCAACCCAGAGAACTAAGAAAAACTTCATTTATGAAAATGATGTTTAAAAAAGAAAAGTTCATCTATTTCACCTAACGAATAAATAATCACAACTTTAGTATCAATTTTAAATTCAAATGTGTAACACAGAAAGTGGAATTGAATATTAACATCAGTTTTGAACACACAGAATACTATAAATATAAAATTACAAATAATCGGTACTATCCAATGCTATAAACCAATCACTTAAAAAAAGGCAATGCGGTTTCATCAAGCATTTCTCTGGTCCTCTAGCTGCCAGTAGACCACAAGAGGGCATATGCGGATTATGTCGACCCTCCCCATCCTCCAGTTGATGAAACCTTCAGCTGCACCCTCCCTTGCCCGGAGGTCCTTCCCTCCCATCCCTCGCTGCCTCTGCTGCCCTAGTGACCACAGGCGGTTTCTCATGCAAGGAAAGGCACCAGGCAACTGAGGTCACACAAAAGCAACAAGAGCATCTCTTGGAGTAGTGTGGGACACATGGGCTCAGAAACGGGATCCTCTAGACAGGAGAAAATGCTGCCATAAGTTATTTCCTGAGAAAGACAGCTAGTGATGAAACAGATTTTCACAATTGTGAAGGAAATCCATGTCACCTACTTAAAAGAATCAACATACGAGGGGTGGAGTCTCCAAAAAGTTTGTGAAAACTATGCACTATAAGAAAACTATGCATGAATTTCAAAGGTTTTTACATCAAAATAAACTTTAACTCCATACTCCACGAACTTTTTGAAGTCCCCGTGCGCAGACTTTCATTCATAATATCAATACAGAATCAGGTTTCACCGTATATTTGAAGACAACTAATAAGAGGAAAAAGGGCAAGAGAAAGAGACAACAGACCAAGGATAATAATAAGACAATTAATTAAATAGATGAAACCTTTTCTAAAAACCTAACATGCGGGCGGCCAGCAGGTGGCATGGTGGCTGAAGCGCTGAGCTTCTAAATGGCCAGCTGTGGATTGAGTCCTGGACTTGACGGCTTGAAAGTCATGCCGGGCACATGTATGTGCATGCCCAAAATCCCACGAGGAGAAAAAATTGTGGCCTGTCCATCCCCTCTGGGGGGTGGGGTGGGGACATCTCAATTTCCCTCTCACTGTCTCTCTCTCGGCAAGCACACGCACCCTATGGGAAAAAAAAGAAAACAAACAAACAAAAAACTTAAAAAAAAAAAAAGTGGGGCATGGTGACCCTTGCCTATACCTGCAGCCACTGCGGTGCTTATGCAGGGGAATCATGACACAGTGATACCCTAGTCTTTAACAAGAGTCATTCTTTTAGAGTTTTGCAGGAAAAAAATCAGAGACTAAAAATAGGAGTGCAAGAGAAGCAGAACAAGGGTAATACTGTGTGAAGCTGATCAAATGGAAGCATTAAACATATTACATATTTAAAGTAAAAAAAAGACAACAAACCAGAAGAACAAAAATAACAATATTATGGAGAAATTAGATGTGGATAAGGAGAAGCATGGGTGGGAGGTACCATAAGGGTGCTATATTCCTTATCTGTTATAGCAGGGAATCCACAGACTGAAAACCAACAGAAAAATGCGGCAATATTAAAGTTAAAATATCACTTCTCAGAAGAATTCACAGAGATTTTTTTGGTTGTTGTCATTGCCAGAGAAGGCATTCTTTTGCAAAAGACAGAAAGAGAGCGAGAGGAAGCACTCCCACTAAAGGTATAGTCATGCTGTAATCCCTTTCCTCCATTTTCCATCCTGTCAGTTTGGGCACACGCACAAGCACACACACACAATCCGTAGTCATCCACATGCAATCTAGCTAACTCCTTTACTCACTGCGCTACAGGGCTGGCCCCCAACACAAATTTTTAACAGTGGTGACCTCCTGATTCAATGAAACTGGGGATAAGGGAGTAGGGTATTTTTTCACTTTGTAGCTTTATGTATGGGTTGAGTTTATTCTTTTAAATCATGGTCAGATGTTACTTGAATAACTTCTGAAAGGGAAATATGTAGGCAGTACATCACTAAGTAAAAAAAAAAAGTAACCTGTATAAAGAGTATATAACAATCCAAGCTATTAGTTAAAAATGCATAGATCTCTGGAAGAGGGACTGAATATAGAGGGAGAACTTTATTATTTTTTAAATTTTGCTAGAGAGAGATAGCAAAAGAGAATGGCTTTTTTTTTGTTTGTTTTGTTTTGTTTTTTACTACATTTCCTCTTTTTTAAAACAAAACAAAAACAAATCTGCTTTCAGGTGTACTTGTTCTAGCACCACAACTTTTTAAATTGCCAGAGGGCACATGTGCTCTCCTGAAAGAGACAGAAAGAAAGAGAGGGAGAAAACACTCCCTACTGGCATGTGACCCCATGTCCTCCATTTCCCCATCCTGCTGGATTGTGGGCACACGCACACAGGGCCTGTTTCCCAAGCCACCAAGACCAGGATTTGAACTGCAGTTGGCCATGTGGGATCTGGCTCCCTTAACCACTATGTTAATTAGGCTGACACAACACCACAATTGATTGGATAAACAACAGACGCCCAAAAATGATCTACGTCACACTAAACACTTCATAGTAGAAAACCAATCCTAAAGAGATAATAAATGGTTGTAGTTTGAAAAAAAATTTCAATTTCTAAAATTGGTAAGGGGAAAAAGATGTCATTCTGTAATGGTTTACATGCTCAGCCTTCCCCAATTTCAACAACTTTTGAGATCACCAATAAAATATTTTAGAGGAAAATTGGATGGCAGAGAAACAGTTGAAAGCAGATTCACCTGAGGGGCATTCCCTACCACCACCACTTGAGTTTATAAAACTCTGTAATTGTTTAAAATACCTCCAATCCTAGGCGAATAGCAGCCTCCGTAAAGCTTCGTCTTTCTTTCTCAAAATTCTTTTTTTGCTCTTTAAAAAGAGACCATTCTTCTTTGAGGCGTTCCTTTTCTTCTAATAAGTAACAGTCTCGAAGGAGTGAAGTGGTATCGTCATCACATGCAGTGGCGAGCTGCTGCTATTAAATTGTAAAACATAGTAAGTTTCAGAAAGTCCCTGCAATACTCCAACAAGTTGAAATAAAAACAGGGAAAGCAGAAACTGCAGGGCAAGGACAGAAATGATAAAGAATCAGAAAGTCAAATGAGGATTTGCAGTTCTCATATGCAATTACCCCAACTGGCAAAGCATGAACTATTTAAGGAACAGTATGCAGTGTATCTTTTAGCAGAGAACTTAGTTTGGATCAGAAAAAACGTCAAATGCCATAGATCTTACGAAATAAAGGAATAAAAACCTAGTAGGGTTCAGTAAAATTCTGGCCTTTCATGGGACAGAATAGCTTTAAAAGGTAATCTGCATTTACCTGTAAAAGTTGCTGCTGAGTTTTAATCATTTCTTTACAGTGCTGAATTTCTAGCTCGAGTTTCTCGGTTTCTTGCTCATGATCTTGCCGTGAGATCACATCTTCCTCATTAAAACCTTCTAGGTGAACCTTTGAAACTAACACAAAACCAGTAAGCTGGCGCGGATTTTATAGCCACGATTGGATTTATGGTGTTTTTGGACATATATTTAAAAATCAAGACTCTCAGAATTTTTCTCTTTCTGGAATGTGAGGTGTTTCCAAAATGTGATTACTTCTTTTGGCTTTTTAAAATTTCATAAGCTACAATAAGATGGGTCCGGGACGCGAACCGCGGTCGACTACGTGGGAGTCCAGCGACATAGCCATTACGCTAACTGCTGGTTCCCTGGACATATATTTAAAAATCAAGACTCTCAGAATTTTTCTCTTTCTGGAATGTGAGGTGTTTCCAAAATGTGATTACTTCTTTTGGCTTTTTAAAATTTCATAAAATACAATAAGATTGAATTTATATTATTTTAAAATATTAAATATTTTAAAAAGTAAAGCAACTATAAGGGGTTTGCAAACAACACAAATTTGTACTAATGTCAGACTAAACATATCCTTATGAATAGAGCTCTCCTGCCAAGATTTCATTTGCAATTCCTATTTCTTCAAGACTATGTCCTAATTAAATAGACAGTGTAACTATATTCACAGAAGGGAAAATGATAAATTCATAAACTGTTCTTGTTATGCCACAGAGGATGGGACTTTTTTTAAAAAAATACTTTTTAAAAGAAATATTTTGCAAATCAAGACCAGCTGATGGCATGGTGGTTAAGGCAGCTGGATCCCACATGGCCAACTGAGCAGTACAAGTCCCGGACTCAGTGGTTTGAAAAACACACCAGGCATGTGTGCATGAAAACTGCAAGTCCCAAAAAGAGATGGAGGGGAGGGACTGTGGTGTGGCTACCCCCACCCCTGGGGGGTGGGGGGCGGATTTCTTTCTCTCTTGGTCTCGTCCAGCAAGTGCATGGGCCCTATAGCAAAAACTAAAAATAAAATAATACATAAATAAAAATTTTGCATATCCATAGAGATGACTATAAAGATATGCAACAAAGTGTTAAATGTTACGTATAGAGAATACAGAACTGGATACTCTCTATATATTTATTTTCTATTTTACAAAATCTTAATAATTTCATAAATTATTTTGAAAATAATTTTTAAATGAGAAACCAAGTGATAGTCAAGTGTCTAAGAATAAGCAAAAGGTCCATATTTATGCTATATTATAATGATTATTTATTTATTTTTCTTAATTGCCAGAGGGTGCACATGCTGCCCAGAGAGAGAAACAGAAAGCATCTCCAGTGGGGTAAGGTCATACATACTGTGATCCCTTCTCCTCTACTTCTCTCTCCTGCTGGGATTTTGGGCATGATGCACTGCACACATGCTTAGCACATTTTTCAAGACACTGGTGCCAGCAGTTGAATCTCCGCTGGCCAGAAGGGAGCCAGCTTCCTTAACCACTAGTCTATGGGCCGGCCCTGAGGACTATTACTTGATTTTCAAGATTCAGTAAAAGAGCATCAGTTCCCTTTAGTCAATTACGTGCTCCACTCAGAGCAAACGGATACGTGTCTTCTTTACAAACATTTACTCTAAAAACAAACTGTGTTTTCCTCAGTGAGGTTCAAAGCTCACATCTAAAAAAAAGTAGACCAACTCTCATTTTTCTGAGCCCATCACGTGGCTTTCTGTGTGACCAGAAAATAGCTAAGTGTCCCAACTCCCTCTACAGGCACTACGATAGCACTTACCCTGGTTATCAAGTTTTTCTACGTGACTTTTCAAAATCCGCCACTGTTTCCTGATGCTGTTGGTGAGCTGCTCCCTCACAGTGTCACAGGAGAGTTCCCACACGCTCTCTCTGCTCAGTTCCCCGGCATCTTCGTCTACATCAGAGATAACCTACACGTGGTCAGAGATGGACAGGGAAGGCCAGAACCTTGATGACAAGCTACTCGGACAGCAGTCATCAGATTGATTAATCAAGAAGCCTTAGCAAAACCTTTCCTGTGCTGTATCTTAGGCAAATACAACCCAGCACTCGACAGATGTCTTGAGAAAAAGTGATTAATATTAAAGGCAGAAACTTCCCAACTCAGGTCTCTTCAAACCTAAATGTGAATCCAAATTCGGTTAGTGACAGAGTCACGGAGCTGTCTGAGAGTTACCACCTGTCCCATGCTGTGGTAGATGTGTTCACGTGTTACTTAACCCTCAACTCAGGTTAGTGTGGGAAAACTGACACTGAGGGAATACAGCAAGTGTCTTGGCCAAGAGGGAGAATGGAGATGAGAAGTCATACTAAATTGTCTCTAATTCTAGGCTGTTTAAACAAACAGACCTGTGAAATAATCTCCAAGTAAAAGCAATCCTCTTTTTCTCACTAATCTATGTAACTAGAGATATTTTTCTTTTTCTAAATTTTTTCTTTTATTATTTTATTTATACTTATCCATTTATTTATTTTTATTTGACCATAGAGGGATAGAGTGAGAGAGAAAGTGAGAAAGCAAGCTGCCAGGTCTGGGACTCGAACCAAGGTCAGTCATGTGGGAGTCCAGCACATTTAACCACCACGCCACCTGCCGGCCCCACTAGAGATATTTTTCTTTATGTGCTTCCAAGACATGAAATCACAGGAAAATGTAGCAGAATTTATTTACAACACATGTTCAAAGCATGATAAAGAACATGGATGCAATACTAACATGTATTAATGTCATAATAACTGGCATCTACATAAAATAGTCCCAATTTGTAACTAGCAAGGAGGAAGGTAGATAAACTTTACTCATTTGAACAATAAAAATCCTGCTGGAGGGAAAAAAAAAAACGATGAGAAGAAGGGCTGGCTTGAGTGCTACCACACTGATGGGCAGGAACGTGGGAAACCGAGTGTGCCCAATTGTGCCCACAGTCTGAGGTTGGCAGTAGGCTGGCAGAGGGCAAGGCCTCCAAGGCCGGCAGGTGGGAGACAGGCCAGTCTGACCCACTGGGATTCTCAGTATTGACAATCATCCTCAGGAGCTCCCAGTCAGTGACTCTCCAAGAAGCCACTTTCTCATCTATGCATTTTAAAGCCCATCAGAGTATTGCACAGCTCTTGTTAAAAATCATTAATAGTAATGACTGCAGTTCCCCAAACTGATTAAAACTCTACAATAACAAAATGAAAACAAAAACTTATTTCATTTTGAGTATGTATTTTGTCAACATGTAAGCAAGTCTAATAACAAATGGAACCTCGATGCCATGCTAGGATTCTAAGGTTACATTTTATTGCTCTTCCTATGATGCTCCAAAATCTCTCCTTAAAAACAAGGAATGGTTTCATTAGTTAAATTTTAAGAGAAAAGGAGCTAGAAAAATGGATCTTTTAAAAACAGGAAATATATTTAATAGACTATTATTTCTCCAAATTTAAATATTTGAATTGAATGAATTACAATGGCTACTATCCACTGGGTATGTAATAAGGGGAGAAAGGAATCAAATCATCAAGAAAGATTTCCATGATTTATCACCCACTTTTGCTGACTGAAAGCAGACAACGAGAGGCTAGTAAAGGCTGGGCCCAAATCAGAGGCTGCTAGAGTAAGAGAAACTACGCTGACCGCAGAGGGGTACTAGGGAACCTGAGTAACCATCAGAAGTGCCAGGCCCCAAGAGAACAAGTGAACTAAATGGAAGACGTCCAGCAGACACCAAGCTGGAGAGCATAAAAGACTCTTCGAGTAATATTTTAAAACATTTTTTTGAAAAAAAAAAAAAAGATAGGAGGTGGGATGGACTTATCAGTTGAGCCAATCTGTGACACTAACAAATAAATAATTCTCAAATAAAGGTTTTTAAAAAGTAAGTTTCAGTGACTTGATTTTTACCACCATCTTACACTAGTGTAACATTGTTATTTCCAGATTCTAGTTAATAAGGTAAACTTGCTGGAACTCAGAATTTAAACTTAGGTCAACTTAGGTAAAGCAAGTACATAGAACTTAGGTAAGTACAAAGAACTTACTGCCACTCTGTGACTTTTTTCAGACTTTTGCTTTTATCCCTCCACCCCCACCCCCAGCAACAAATGCTTCCCCCATGTCTGCTACCTCGAAAATATCTCCTTATTTCAAAGACCCACCTCCAATGTCACCTTCCCTGTGATGACCTCTGCGTCTGCCATGGTAACTGTCCTGACTTACACATTGCACACTGCCCTACGACACACTCAGCATGTGCAATAACCCACTTCTCCACATGTCTCTGTCTCTCCCAAAAAGAGCATCATGAGGGGAAAGGAACTAGAACATTATGAACACTAAATAAATTAGGACTGAATGATTATTTGGTTCCCAAAGTTAACCAGCGTTTCACATTCTAAAAAGTAAAGCGCACAGTACTTAACAGACTTAAAATAACAGAAAGGCTATTTGGCACAGTGGTTATGAGCATAGGCTCTGGCGTGAAATGGACCTGGATTCAAATCCAAGCTCTGTCACATATCATGCCGAGCTAGTAGTAACTACTAATCATCAGTTTCCTAATCCAGAAGATGGGATAATTATGTCTAAATCATCAAGTTGTTATAACACTTGAAATATTATAACATTTGAAATATTTTCTCATATATCATGAGAAATATTATAAAATGAGACACCTTAAAAAAGGCTTATCACAGTGCTTGGCATGAATTAAGTCCCCAGAAAATCACCTCCATCATGTCCCACGGCACGTCTGAAAACATACAGGGATTTTTTTTTTTTTTTTTTTGGTGGTGACAGTGACAGGGTGGCACAGTAATGACCGTCCTGTTCAAAACATCAATAGTGACTCCACTGAGAATACTTATCAAGTGTTTCACTTGTTCCAATTAAGTAACTTGAAGACTATTAGAGAGAGAAAAGTCACTTACAATTCCTGTACTATCATCTGTTCTTTCTCTAGGTTTCTTCTTTTGGGGAGAAAGAAGAGAAATCATTTCCCTTTTCATTTGCTGAAGCACCTTTTTAAGTTCGGCATTCTCCATTAGTATTTGCTTCTGGCGATATTCATAATCATTCAAGAGAATTTTATACATTTCATCTTCATTCCTGAGAAAGAAACTGTTAGTATGAAAACGGCATACATAAAGGAAAGTCTGATTAAATTTATGAATTTAAGTTGAACTGTACCTGGCTTCAGTTTTACCAGTCCTCCAGGAGCCTCTTTTTCCATCAGCTCTTCCCACATAATTTAAAACATCCATAGCTTCAAATAAGGATGCACAAAACAAAACCGAGTGTTACCACATGTATAAGTGTCTAAAACTCTAATATCTCTACACACGCTAGGAAGGACAGTCAACTGCACGGGCAGCATGTGGGCTCCAACAGCCCACGTTTCAGGTCCCAGTTTTCCTGATCTACTGAGATCCTGGCAAGTCACTGAACTGCTAAGCTTATTGCTTCACTGGTACAGTGAGAATAACAAATATCTAACAAAGAGTTATAAAGATAGAAAGAAATGAGGTTAAATTAAAGCACTTCACACAGAACTGAACATACTACACAATTAAGAAATGTTACTTTATCATTATTAATCTCATTATAAGGGATTAGCAAACTATGGCTGTCTGATTTTTTTAAATAAAGCTTTATTTGAAAATAGCTACTACCCCGTTTGTTTACGTGGTGTCTATGGCTGTTGCTTCCTATAATGTTCAAGATGAATAGGTGTCAAAAGATAGGCAGACCCCACCTAGCTGAAAGTATTTACTTCTCAGACCATTACAGAAACAGTCACCTTATGATCATTATTAAAAGAGTTAAGGCCCCCGACAGTGATAACGTCTCTTTCCTCCCAGATGGAGATGGATGCATTTGATAAAACAAAGAAATAAGACGTTATCAAAATTTCAGAGGCATTAAAATCTTCTAGAAGTTATTACTTCCAACTGAGAAATGGACCAGGAAACAGCTAGTCCCCTCTAATATAAGTAGTCTGTTTTCAGAGTTAACTCTTTAATTAATTTTCTAACTAGAGGTGACATTTTAATTTTATATTTTCAGCATTTCATCTGCTTTAATTTTGTTCTGTCCTTCATTAATAAACATGGGACTAACCAACCTTAAAAACCAGTAAGTATCACAGTGAGTAGAATTTATTAACTCAGAATAACTAAAGATTTCCAACCTTGTATTAATGGCTTATTGTTCCTTCATTTTCTTAAATATTTATATACTTTTATTTATTATTATTATTATTAATTTTAAAATTTGCTACAGGGCATGTGCACTCACCAGAGAGAGAGAGACAGAGAGAGAGAGAAACAGAGAGAGAGAGAGAGAGCGAGCAAGCCCCAGATCCAGGACTAGAACCACAGTTAGTCATGTGGGAGTTTAGTGCCTTAACTACCACTCCATCTGGTAGCCCCTATACCTTCCTTTTCTACTACTCAGTAATTTTTAATATTTTTTTCATATTGCCATAGGGCACATACACTTGCCAGAAAACCACAGAGAGGGAGAGAACACCCCCAATGCACACCATCCTGGAGTACTGTCACGCCACAGCCCCTTCTCCGTTTCTCCACCCTGTCAGGATTTGGGGCATACACACGCGTGTACTCGGCATGCTTTTCAAGCTACTATGGCTAGGATTCAAACCAAGGTTGTACATGTGGGATCCAGTCCCCTTAACTGCAAGGCCATGGGCCAGCCCTCTCTCTCAATGATTTTTAAAATGGAACATTCAGGGACCATCAGTTGGCGTAATGGCTATGTCGCTGGACTCCCACGTAGTCGACCACGGTTCGCGTCCCAGACTCGGTGGCTTAAAACTCACGCCGGGCGCGTGTGTGTGTGCGTGTGCCCAAGATCCCGAGAGGAGAATGGAGGAGAAGGGATTGCGGCGTGGCCATCCCCCCTGGGGGGTGATTTCTCACTTTCTGTCTGTCTGTCTCTCTGTCTGTCTGGCGAGCGCATGAGCCCTACAGCAAAAACCTCTCCAGAAAAAAAAAAAAAAAAAAAGAAACATTCAAATAACTTCAACAGCTTTGCTGTATGCCATGACAGTGATTTAGTAACCACTGAACTGCTTGCTGATAGCAGACAGAGCTCACCACATAAAAGCCTGAAATGCCTACTCATCCGTTGTCGAAGTCCCAGTTCATTTTAGAAGACTGCTCAACGTGGGTGTCACTGTTGATGTACCCACGCCCCATGTGGAAATCACTCTTCAATAATAACTGAACAGACTTCCTGTCCCCTGAACTATACCAGGTGAGGAAAACTGCATTGTACAGATCTACTTTCTGTGTGTGTGTGGCTTTACTTTTTAATCTACTTTATTTACTCCAAATTAAGCACATACTTGGATGGAACACCTGCAGATTAAACTTTTCAAAGGAATAATACCAGAGAAAAGTATACTTTTGAGATACACATATGATAACTTCTACAGTCTTTTTGACTAGATGCTTAAAAAAAAACACAGAAGTTCTTTAAAGGAAATCAAATTGATATGAATCATTTGGTCTGATAAACAGTTTTATGAGGTTAACTCTAAAATCGTACTTCTTTATATACTTGGAAATTGATACTGGTTTTAATGAATTCTTTGCTATGGAAGATTAGTGTTTTCTGGCTTGTTATTAATCCTGTATAAGTCGTGTTAAAAAAATGCAATAATGAAGCAAAAGCAAAATGACTTATTTTTAGTAACCAGATGTCTAAATTTCTAGTTTACATGGATAATACACCATCTAAAAGCAATTGTATAAAGCATGGAAATAATACTTCATAAATAACTGTGCTTGGTGCTTTACTTTATTTCTTTGCATAATATTATCATCGCTTACTTATCGTCTCAGCTGTATTCTAGCCAGTTGCTTACCTATTCTTTTATCCTTCTTGTTCATAACAAGCTGATGTAGACGTTCCTTTAGTTTATTATATTCACGTTCTTTTCTCTTCATATCATGATTATACTGAATAGCTCGACTTGAAATAATATTCTGTAATTTTTGTACCTGAAAAAAACATTTTCTATCAAACGAGGTTGGATAAACCCAGTTAAAATTCACAAACTCAAGAGAGGAAATAAGTCCTGCATTCGTCTCCCCACATGTCAGCTTTTACATTCCTGGATGACTATTCCTTCTTCCTAGCCACTGGAAACCACTTCTAAAATATCATTAAATGAATCACAAAAAGGTTTTATTTTTTAATCTTGAAATTCCTAGATGTGCTAACTCTTTAAATTATCTTCTATACCCTTTACCTTAAGGTAAACTGGTAATTTAGAAATCAGAAACTTACCGAAGTACTAAAATGAAACAAATAGAATTCATTTTTAGTGACTTCCTTAAATTACTAACTTGTGACCACTTTATTTCTTATCAATCTGTGACAGGATGAATTAGTCAGTGGCACAGGGCAGCAGATAAACAGGCTCATTTTTCTCTAATCAAAAACCCAGATCTCCGGGTCAGACAGTGGCATGGTGGTTAAGGTGGCTGGATCTCATATGGCCAGCTGAGCAGCTGGGGTTTGGCCTGAAAAACTCATCGGGAGCATGTGCATGTGTGTCCCAAATCACAAAGAGAGGGAGAAATAGAGGAGAAAGCATTGTTGCATAACCATTTCCCACTGGGTGGGTGCTTTTTCGCTCTTGCGCTCTCTCTTTTCCTCCTGCAAGCACACATGCCCTGATAATAATGAAAAAACAATACCCCCCCCCAAAAAAAAACAAAACCAGTTCTCAAGAAGTCCAAACAGCAGACAGAATCCAGTTCAAACATTTGCTGAGTACTACTATGTGTGAGCCACTACTGCTCAAAATTACTGCTACTGTGCCTTCTCAAACACCTCTGATAGGAAGTACTCCCATGCTCTGTTCTGCATGGCCATTCTCAGTCCTTGCTGGAGAGCAACATGATTAACGCAAACCTAACCAAAGATGAATAACACTCAAATCATTCAAGTGTAATCAACAGATCAAATCAAATTTTCCTGTGAAATAATTCAAGCAAATACATAGATATACTACCAAATAATCAAATACAACAAAAACAAATCTATCCAAATCTCTCCAAGAGTCTTTTAAAAAAATAATTCCTCTGCATGTCTTTAATCATTGCTAAAACAACATATAAAAGACTGAAAAGAAGTACTACATTTTTAGTTATTACATAGTCAGCATAGTGCAGCACGCACACACAAAATAATAGTTTCTTCTTACATAAATTAAAAAATATCTTCAAGTGCATTAATTCCATAGGTCCAAGCAACCACTAAAACAAAATCAGAATTATGATATCTTTTGCCTCAGAAATGAGATTTTCAGTGTGAATTATTTTTGTGCCTGATTAGTCAAGTAATCACACAACTGGCTAAATAATGTCAACATTTAAGACAGCCAAGAAAGGGCATGTCAGGTATCAAAGTACAGTACGGCAGAAAAAAATGACAGTGAATATGAGTCCAGGAAGGACAGTACAGGGCACTGGCTGTTACCAGCTATGAACTAATACAGTAAGCCAAACAGATTCGCAGGGACAGGGAGAGTTCCTGGCCTCCAAGTTAAATATGATCCAATAGTGTACACGGAGGTTCACAAAACCAACAATGCAGGACAAATAAATGGTTCCTGAAAGTAAAGTGGCCCTTAGGGTCACCCCAGATTATCAAATAAAAGTTCTTTTAAACTTTACCTGCAATAACTGACGACTCACCTCATCTTTCTCATTTTTCAGTAGCTGATGCAAATTCCTGTTCTTGCATTGTAACTGCCTGTCTCTTTCCTGAAGCCCGATCATTTCCCTCCTGGAGGTTTCCAGTTGCTCCTAAAATATTCATATGCAACTTTTGGTTAATATTAACACAAGATTCAGAACAACTGAATTCTTAAAGTTATACATATGAGGAGACCTTAGAAAGTTCAAGGAAAAATGGAATTAAAGTACAAACTTACTTTGGCGCAAAAACTTTTCTGAAATTCAGTTTTTTCATAAGCATTTATCATGATCTTTTTGAAGACCCCCCCTCATACTAGGGTTTGTTAGATAATACTGAAGTTTAATGGCACACGAAATGTTTACTTAAAGCAACTGTTATAGAGCTTAATAGTATAAAACAACATTCAAATTTACATGGCAGATTTTATTTAAATACCAAATTTATAAACACAGAAAGAGTTTCAGCGATTCCCCTGAAAGACTCACTTATTCCAAGATGTTACACTGAATGCTTTATAAATGTCTGAATACTTTTTAACACATCTATAGCATACCCTTGAAGATCTCCTCTGCTACGTAAAATCATCTGTTGAGGGTGCGTTTGGCTTTGAGAGACAGCCCAAAGTGATTGGCATCCAAGTCTGCAGAAGCTGGGTAACTAAGCTAAGAGGCAACTCTTCAGGTCAAAAAGGGCAGGAATATAGTGAAACAAAACTTCTCCCTTACAGGTGGTAAACTATGTGAAGTTCTTCTGAGAGAAGAATGGCAGCAACCCAGAATTCAATCAGATAAGGTGCTCATTTTCAATTCATTTGATGCACTAACTCTAAAGTTGTCAAAATTTTTAGCAACCTTTTTAGACTGTGTAAAACATCCTACCATGCAGGATCATTTGGCATGGCTTAACTTAAAGGCACCAGCCAGCTGACATGTCCCATATTTTGATAAGTCAAATCAGAGACTCAGAATGATGTGTCAAGTTTATCTGAACTCAGTATCATTTCTGAAAATCTGCACGCATTCTTCTGCCCTTTCTTGTTTTTTTCAGAGAAGTTTTTACTACATAGAGCATGTACTCGCCAGAAAGACAGAGAGTAAGAAATCACCCCCTGGGGGGGATGGCCATGCTGCAATCTCTTCTCTTCCATTATCCTCTTGGGATTTTGGGCATGCGTGCACACATGGTTGGTCAGAGTTTCAAGGTACAAGTCTGGGATTCGAACTAGGGTGAGCCATGTGGGAGTCCAGCAATGTAACTGCTATGCCATCTGCTGGTCCCACTTCCGTCCTTTCTTATCTCAATGAATCACACCATCATTCTCAGTAATAAGACAGACTTGGACGGTATCTTTAATTCATGACTCTTATTCCTCAGATTCAATTTTTCACAAAATCCTACCCATATCACCTCCTAAGTGTTTTTCCTATCTCATTCTCACTTGTTATCCCCATTGGCAGTACCTTAGTTCAAGTCCAAAACTTCTGCAAAGACCTACTGACAGGCGACCTTATCACCAGGCTGAGTCCCTACTCAGAATAAGCCTGCCCTCCCTCCATTTCTCTACCCTACTGACAGACTGATGTCTGTATGAGGTCTTCCTCCTGAGAAGACATCTTAGAGAAACATTCTATGCTCTGGGTAGTTCTAATGAATGACCACTCCTTAAAGGAGGGGCCTAAAACCCTCAGCTTACCAACACTGTTGTATACTTATTCACTAGCTACCTGTAAGATACACGGGAAAGGGTGCCCAGATACAAAAACATTGTCTCTGAATCAACCCAATCTAGAATAAGACCTTCCACAGATCTCTGATCTGTAATAAAGAAGTATTCTTAACTCGGAACCCTTTCATAAGCCTGGAGGATACCAACTACTCGCTATTCCCCATCAAAGCACCCCAGTCAGCCAAACAACACTGGACAATCTCTCTCTCTTATGCACAGAGGATGTCCAACCTGAAAGCATGTTGTATCATTGTACATGAACCAAGAAAGCACAGGAAGACAGCAGAATGAGGTAGAAGAGGTAGCAGTGTCAGGCGCAGGAGCACCTGCTGGTAAGGAGCTATGATACATCTGTCGGTCAGTCCCCACACGTTCTCAGCATCCGCACACAGGCCAATGTTATACCACTCTACAGCACACCCCTACTGCAGGGGTTTTCTAAGACTAGAGAGAGAGATTCTTTAGTCTCTCTTAAAGCTCAGGTATTCAAGAGTCTGAATGTGTTTGTGTATTATCTGTTCTCAGTGGGGAAATGATACACAGGAAGAAAAACAAGGACAAATAAAGAAACTTGGGCCAACAGATGAAAAACTAAAAGGAAGCTGATTTTCTGAGTATGTTGATGTAAAAACTTTGATTTTTGCAAATAAGGAAACTCAACACAGAACAATATATTTAGGAAAAAATCTGGCTTGGATCATATTACATCCTTAATAGTAACGACTATAACATACATCCTTCCCACAGCGTGCTTTTGAACACTAGTTCCCTTTCCTTCTCAAACAAATATTTTTTAAAACAAAAATATAAAAGAAAGGAAAAAAGACAAACTAGAAATTAGCAACAAATGTTCTGCATTATAAAGGGGTAGGTCAATGGTCCTGTGAAGAATACTTTCTATTTTCAGTGAGGAATAAGCTTGCTAAAACAGAGTTCTGTATTTTCTAGGTCCCCAGGACTTCAAGGACAAGAGAAGTCAACTGGCCTGCTCTCTTTACTGAGCACTAGCTCCACTGGCCTACATGCCTCAACAATATTTTTCTTGGAATTAAGTCATGCAGATGCTCACATAAGACTTCTAAATTAAGGATCTACTTTATTAAGCAAGATTGGATAAGGTGGAGAAATGCTTATTTAATTTCCTCAGAATATAAACATTTCCTAATGTACCTTACGATAGATTCGACAAGTCACTGAACATCACGAATCAGTGCCTGCAGTATAAATACGAGGAAGCCGTGTGACTGACCTGCACACGTTAAGTTCACTCTTACCAGGTTTAAAAAAGCCCTACAGCTTAAAAAACAAAAAGCCTAAAATTTGTTTGATAAAGCTGATGAAAATTTATAGTACTGAATTATAAGATAATGGCACTGAAATATAGATTAAAACAAAATTTTTACCTTAAGTTTTGTGTAGCAGTTCTGTAGATGGTCCATATCACTTCCTAGTTTCAAATTCTGCGTTTCCACATTTTCCTGAGCTAGAAGGTTCTTCCGCTGAAGTATAAGTAGCTCATTCATACAATTTAAAACAGCAACTATATTTAATTCCCTCTTTGTGTCTTTACCTTTGGATTCTTCATATAATGAAGGAAAACCAAAAGTAGTCAATTCCTGGGAGAAGAAAGATTTTTTGTTAAAAGTTGGTTCTAGTTGGGGAGATGTCCATTAAAGGATACAAAGTTTCCGTGGGATAGGAATAAATTCAAGAGACCTATTGTAGAGCATGGTGACTACAGTTCGTAACAATGTATCGTGTTCTTGAAAATTGCTCAAAAAGTAGATTTTAGATGGTGTCATCACAAAAAATAAGTATATAAGGTAATACATGAGTGAGTTAACTCAACTGAGCCATTCTACTATGTATATAAATTTTAAAACATCATGTTGTGGGCCAGCAGATGGCATGGTGGTTAACAGACACTAGATTCCCAGATGGCCAACTATGGCTCGAGTCCCAGACCTAGTGGCTTCAAAATCACTTGGGGCACATACATGTGCATGCCCAAAACCCTGAGAGAAAAATGGGAGAGAAGGGAATGCAGTATGGCCATCCCCCTGGGGAGTGATTTCTCACTTGCCCTTTCTCTGTCTTGGACAAGCCCACATGCCCCATGGCAAAAAACTAAAATAAATAACCCATCATGTTATACATGATAAATATATACAATTTTTATTTGTCGATTAAAAATAAAGACAGTCTAAATGGCCCACGACTGTAATCCTAGCTACTTGGGAGGCTGAGACAGTAGGGTCCAAGTTTTGAGAATAGCCTGAGCAAGATAACAAGATCCTGTTAAAAAATATAAATCAATAAAGTTAATTTTTAAAAATAAGTTACTGACATCTTACCCAACTGGGCTCTTTCGGCCTTTGCTCTACAATCACTCTTAGGACCAGCAGATGGTGTAATAGTTATGTGGATTCCCATGTAGTTGACCACGGTTTGAGTCCCAGACCTGGCAGCTTAAAACACCCTGGGTGCGTGTGCATATGGGCCCAAAATCCCATGAGGAAAATGGAGAAGGGACTGTAGTGTGGCCATCACCCCAGGAGGTGATTTTCGCTGACTCTCTCTGACAAGCACACGTACCCTACAGCAAAAATCTCTCTTAAAACAAAACAAAATAAAAAAACAATTACTCATGCCCCGGTAGGAGGTATTTAGGTTTCTTCATCAATACAATGAGGGTTGACTTTAGTAGAGGAGCCCCTGGGGTAATGGGAAGGCCAAGACGCTCCAGATACCCAGACTAGATGATCACCAAGGGTTTCTTTATATTTTAAAACTTAGGCCACCATTTAACAGTGTACTTCTGCTTGCCAAATACTTTTCTTCTAACTTTTATATGTGCTGTTATACAACATGATGCCCTTACTTCTTACAAAATTAAGTTACCTGATCAAGATATGAAATACTCTGTTCGATATTCTCTTCTGTGCAGAAGGCACTGAAAAAACTGTGCACATTTTTTGATAAAGGTATTGAAGAACATAGCACTTGCTGTGAGTATAAACTTGATGGAGACATCTTTGTTTCTGAGGTATATTGAGAGAGATTTTTGCTTTCTGAAAAAAGTAATAAAGAGTGTTTATACAATTTATAAAAATGCATGTGAAGCTAACACCCTATTTACTACCAAAGATTCTGAATATATTTAAATTCTTTCAAATTAGGACATAGCCACTTTTTCATGAAAATTATACTTTTTTTTTTTAAAAAAGATATAACTAAAGTGGTGTTCTTAATAAGCAAGTGAGAACATACTACCTGAACCAACAGTACTTCAGATTCATCAAAATAAGATGAAACCCACTTGTCTATGCCACTCAAACTTTAAATGATTAAAGGAATAAATCACAGAAACATGTTGAAGAAGCAGCTGTTTATATTTCAAATGTATCAAAATTTCCCTCAAAAATAACAGGCCCAAGTTACAGTGACACAAGTGGGAGGGCAGTGGTTGAAGCCACATAGGAGGCTTCAGCCACATAGGTTGGAGCCACGTAGTTGCCAGTCCAACCTAAACAGGTCAAGCATGGTGGCCTGCCGGTGATCCTGGCTCACTAGGTGACTCAGCCATGAGGCTTAACACATGACAAGGGACTGTCATAAATACCTCTCTCCTTCCTTCTCCCTTCTCTCTCATATAAAATAAAACAAGAACTCTATTATCTATCTAAAGCATTTAACCCCATTTTAATTATGGCATATTCTTAACTTACCTGATAATTTTACTGAAGATGAAATTAGGTATTTTATAACTATTTATGTCTGTCTAGTCACATCTTCAATATCTGTGGTAATTATTGTGTATTTCTGTTGAAACATTCACCTTTACAATTACTGCTTCCATCTACAGATATTTCAGACTCAGTTACCTGAGGACAGACCTGGATCTGTAACAGTCAGCCAATCTCCCATAGCAATCTCCAGAGCCAGGATACCTGAGGAACTGGTTATCAAGATACGAAATACTCTGTTCAATATTCTCTTCTGTGCAGAAGGCACTGAAAAAACTGTGCAGATTTTTTGATAAAGGTATTGAAGAGCATAGCACTTGCTTGTGAGTATAAACTTGATGTAGACATCTTTGTTTCTGAGGTATATGGAGAGAGATTTTTGCTTTCTGAGAACAGACCTGGTTCTGTGAGTCATCCAATCTCCCATAGCAATCTCCAGAGCCAGGATACCTTAGAAATTGGTTCAGAAGGGAAGCATCCAGTCCAGCTGCTGTCACTCTTCTAGGTCGGCATCTCCTTCAAAAACAGATGACAGAACAGCTCTCAGTAAGCTACGAAAGCCAATTTATATGTAAGAATTAACCGTATATGCTTCAGAATGAAGGATTTGGCAATAGTTATTCTCATGTACAGATATAAAACTTGGTAGAGCTTAATAATAACTTATATATACTACAAGTAAAATATGTAAGGATCAAGGTTAAAGGCTTCCCAAGTTCCACTGAGATATTCGCAGTATGTCATGTGTAAGATAATATGGGACACGATTCAACTCACTATATATGTAAGGCGTAACACTAGACTAAGTAATATTTCCATATTAAATCCTTTTAAATGAAGTATAATTCTTACTTATGTAGTTGAGAAGATAAAAATATCTTCTTGACTAGAATTCCCATTTTTTGTTTTTACTAACTATATTAGAAAAATTTTCTTTTTAAATTATATTTTTCTAAGTAAGCATAGACATATGAAAATAAACATCCCCATACACTACTCTCCAGATTAACTCTTTATACCAACTTAAATAGTACTACTAAGCAATCTGCTAACATAACATGAATCTTAAAAATGAAAATATATTTTGATCCAGAATTCAACTTCTAAAATTTTATCCTCTTAAAACAAAGATTCATCTACCGGTTATTCTTAAAAGTATTACGAAAAAAAAAAAACAAAAACAGAAATAACTTTGTATGCGGCACAGAAGACTGGGTAACTAAGTGACACATTCATACAACAGGACACCATGCAGTCCTTAAACACAACAGTGAACATTCAAGGTTGCGAACACACCTAAAATGCCAAGAAAACAAATGAATGAAGTAGACGAAGTTTAAGACATGTAACCTTTGCCATCCCTTTAAACAGGGATATTAGAAAAGACAAGTATTTCTTCTCACAAGAAAGACTATGCAAATGAAATTATGAATGGCAACTGGCAGTTGATTCCAGGGTCAGGGATAGAGGAGGAAGGGTGGAGACTGCAGGCAATGGAACACATGCCAACACTCTGGACAGCTGCTTCTCAGCTATAATAAACTGTGGTCAGAGGAGAAAGCGGGTCCTGTGTTGCTGGAGCTCTGCATTTTTAAAGGGATGTTGGAATTCTGGATCTTTATGTGTAGTCTCCCAATTTTTAAATGTTTAAAGGTAATTAAAAAAAAATTAACTGTAGGTAAGGTATCTTTTGGTAAGGAGGAGACACTGGAGGGGATTATAAGAGAGCCTTTTAGAGTGCCAGAGATGTTCTACATCTTGATCTGAAAGATGGTTAGATGGGTATACATGTACATACAATGAACAAGCTGTACACCGAAGATCTGTGCACCTGATTATAAGTTATACCTCAAATAATAACAATATGTAATAAGCTAAATCAAATGTACCTTCAGACTGGGTCTAGACTGTGTATCAGGTTCACATCCCTGTTCTCAGTATTTGAGATTGTGGGAAATAGTCACAATATTAAATGAAAACTTTCCTTCATTCAGTGAATATTAAATGAGCTCCTACTATGCATCAGGCATATTTTTCTAGGCACAGGGGAGGTCTTATTCTCAAGAAGTTCACATTCTGATAGGATTAGAAATAAGACACTAGAGCAGCATGCAATCAATTGAATTTATCTAACACTCAGTACATAAATAAAACACAGTGAGTGTGTGTTGGGGGTGAGGATCTACATTCGCCAGGGAAGGCTACACTGAGATGGTGACATTTGAACTAAGACTTAAATGACATGGAGTCAGTCACAAGATGATCAAGGACCAGAGTAGCCTAGCAGAGGAAATGGCAGGTATAAAGACCAAGGACGGAACTGAACTTGCTAAGTATGAAAAACGCAAAGGTCGCTATGTCTGAAGTACAGTAAGCAAGGATAGAGGGAAGCAAGTTGGATTTCCTACAAACTGCAATGTAAAATAACTGAAGGGTTTTTGTTCTTTTGTTCTTTTTGGAGAGGTTTTTGCTATAGAGCACGTGCGTTCACCAGAAATACAGAGAGACAGAGAGACAGAAAGTGAGACATCACCCCCCAGGGAGGATGGCCATGCTGCAATCCCTTCTCCTCCGTTCTCCTCTCGGGATCTTGGACATGCACACATACCTGGCGTGAATTTAAGCCACCGGGTTCGGGACTCGAACTGCAGTTGACTATATGGGAGTCCGGTGACACAGCCATTACGCCAACTGCTGGTCCCAGTGACTGAAGGGTTTTACACAGGAAAAAACCATGATGTCCTTTACACTTCATGAGAGTCACTCTGGCTACTCTACGGGGAGACTGTCAGTGGGCAACAGCCAAGGCTGGATGGGCTCAGGAGGCCAGTGCGACAACAGCCTCGGCAAGACCAACATTACACAGGAGTTCCAACAGTGGAAGCCAAAACGGGTGGATGAACTGGGGATGTGTGCTGGAGATAAGAACCTTCAGGATTCACAGACATTAAAATATGGGCAAAAGTGAAGTCCAAGATGACTCCTGGGTCACAGAGAAGCATGTAATATATACTACTGTAGACAGTGTTATGTGTCACATGACATGTTCTAATGTGACGTGCACACACACACACACACAAAGAAGGTTTTCCGCCTGGCATCGATTTTCCTACATTTTTCTACTAGGGAACTTTGATAAGGAAGAGCACCTGAACTGTAATATTTTGTGCTAATATTTCTCACTGTCTTTGAATGGGTGCTTTCAGCAAAAAGAGGAACAGGATAAGCGCTAAGTCTATACCAAGTAAGACACCGATTTTACTTCTGGCTATCAGAGATAGTAGCTATAAACAAAAACGGAATCCAAGGGCCATAAATTTCATCTTTTAACGCAGCTCTGCTTTAGGTAAATTAGTCTGAGCTCTGGTTTACTCACTGGTAGATTACAATAATGACACTTACTTCATAAATCTCCCCTGAAGATTAAGTGAGAGAACGTGCATAAAGTATTAGGTGGTCGGGAAAGTCAAGACGCACTTTTCTACGTTTTTCTATGCAAATATGCGTCATGACTTTCCAGATGACCCAATATTTAGCACACTGCTTGGCATATGGTACACACGCCATTAATATTAGCTATCACCATCATCTAGACACAGAGCTGGTATAAAGACAGGGTGCTAAAACCTGTAACAAAGTGCACTGTTGCTCTTAGTAATTGTACACAGGTCCTTAGATGATCAAGCAATATCCACAGAAAAATACAGTGGGGGCCTAGCCATGGTGGCATGCCCTGCTAAAACTCTGCATGCTAGGACAACACAGAGACCAGGTTTGATTCCCAGTTTAACCTCAAGTGCTAAGCAGTGGTGTACATTTGCAATCTCAACCACTCAGGAAGCTGAGGAGGAGGGTCATAAGCTCAAGGCTGGCCTGAGCCACATAGTGGCCCTTTCTGAAAAAGAGCTGGGCATGCTGGCAAGTGCCTGTAGTCACTGCTGGTGAGCTGAGGCAGGAGGATCAAAACACAGAGACACACACTCACACACACGTACAAAACACATTAGGCAGGGAACCAGCAGTTGGCGTAATGGCTATGTCGCTGGACTCCCATGTAGTTGACTGTGGTTCGCGTCCCGGACCCAGTGGCTTAAAACTCACACCGGGTGCGTGTGCGTGCATGCTGAAGATCCCAAGAGGAGAATGGAGGAGAAGGAATTGCAGTGTGACCATCCCCCCTGGGGGGTGATTTCTCGCTTTCTGTCTCTATGTCTCTGTCTGTCTGTCTGGCGAGCGCACGCGCCCTATAGAGAAAACCTCTCAAAAAAAAAAAAAGAAAAAACACATTAGGCAGTGGGCTAATTTTTGTGATCTATAACCTGGTGGAAGAATAAATTTAAAAGAAAACAGAAACAGGCACCTTTCCAAGTCCTTTCTGTCCTTTTGTTAAAATATTTATAAGTAAGGGGAACAGCAGATGGCAAAGTGGTTACATTGTTGGACTCCTACATAGTTGACCACAGTTTGCGTCCCAGACCTGGCGGCTTGAAACTCAAGCTGGGCGTGTATGCACGCATGCGTGCCCAAAATCCTGAGAGGAGAATGGAGAAGGGATTGTAGCATGGCCATCCCTGGGGTGGAGGGGGTGATTTCTCACTTTCTGTCTCTGTCCCTCTATGTCTCTTCACCAAGCGGGGGGGGGGGGGGGGGGGGGGCTCTCTTAAAAAACATTGTAAGACAATAGTGCCCTAAGGCCTTTTCTCTTCATAAAGGTGAAACACTAGTCTGTGTCTATTACATATTGATTCTTTAAAAAGAAAGAAATCTATGTTAACAGGTTAGACAGTGAATTGTTCCCTGTACTATTAATTACACAAACAAAACAAATTGCAAAATATTCATGTCTAGTTAAATGTTCATGATGAAAACCAAAACTCCATTTTGAAGTCCTCTGAAACAAAGAACTTAATAACAGTATATGATTTCACACAATCTGAGAGTAAATGAATCCTCTTCTGTTCACCGATGCACCAAATTATATATTACAAGAGTTGTGATGAAAGAAAAGTGACCCAACCAGTTTTTCCAAGAAAAAAGAATTAAGACTCTTAAACAATACACACCCCCAAAAGGAAGAGACTATTTTAAACAAAGTTATCATATTCTAGCTCAATCACAGCTAAAATTTCATTGAAGTTTACAAACTAATCTTATGAATATGTTAAAATAAATCAGCTAATTTCAAAAGCACAAGAAAAAAGGTAACAGATGC